AGTGTCTTTGGTTGCTAGGATGCTGTCGGCCGCACAGTGTGTTTGGTTGCTAGGATGCGCGTCGGCCGCACAGTGTCATTGGTTGCCTGGATGCTGTCAGCCATTGGTTGCTAGGATGCTGTTGGTCGCACATTGTCATTGGTGGTGGCTGCCTGCATCCTAGCAACCAATGACCCTCCAGATAATGAATATACACTGAGGATGAAGTGCCTGGTTTAGACACTGCGGACCGCCCACCACACCACACCACCACCAAGCAGCTCCATATTAATTATTGCATCATTACATATGTGTTTTAATGAATACAAGCAGTGAAACTACCTCCATTTGACTTGGTATCAGCAACTTATATCCCCCTGTAAAGCAGAGCTCAGACTGGGACAGGGAGAAGCAACACAAGGAGCCAATCAGCTGGGATGTATGTGCTAACAAAGGACATGCTGACTGGGGGAGAGTGCAGAGTGGCAGGGAAAGATGACCTGCTTCTCCTTTCACTGTCCAGGCTTGGGGAGTGTTACCAAACTACAGCCCTCATATATGTATTTCCTGTATTTGGCTCTTAGGCCCCGAGTTCAGTTTTCGCAGCTCGCTAAAGCCTTTTATACACTGCAGCCAGCATTTCTTTTATAAAGCTGCTTGAAGCTTCTTCAATGCGTTTTGGATGCTCTCTGTCATCGTTTAACCCGCGTTTACCAACTATAACTAAGCAAAGCCCATGTGTTAGGACCCCACTGAGGAGTTTTGCCGCAATGGCTCTGGACCTCCAGGTAAAGCTGGCCATACACTGACCCCGCAGGGCAATTGAGACAAAAATGACCATATGGGCCGTCTTGATTCATTCGCTTGGGCTGAGCACAGCTGCAGACAGGAAGGAATCAGGTTGGCAGGTACAGCATGTCTATGAGGGCCCCAGTCACATGTCCTGCATGTCCTGCGTGTCCCGCATTCCTTGAGGAAATGGACCATGCAGGGACACAAGGGCGTTCATGTGCAGCGTTGCCATTAACCCTCGCACTGCCTGACACTGAGCACACTGCACGCAGCGCCCAATGTGTCATGTGAGGGAAGGGGAGTGCGTTGCTGGCTGCTTGGCATTTAACTTGGCACACGATTTCGGACGCTGGGGTCACTCGGTGTTGACAAGACCGTATTCCCAGTAGGAAATGTGGACTTCCTTCAAGATTTGCATGTCAGAGCACCTTTGATATTAGGCTGTAGGCAAAACAACAGCTAAACTGAGGTGCATGGCATGCAAAATGGTAGTTTATTAACCATGGCGCCATGAAAGTGAAAATTTTGATTGTAGGGAGCACAGTTGTGACGTCAGATACGTCAGGGGCTTTGTACCTGACAGGCCTGATGTATAGTAAACCTGTTATGAACCCGGGCAATTCAAACTGGCCTATAATTAAAGGATAAGTGCACTTTAAAGCAAAGTGCACTTATTCCTTTTGCCCCCAACTCATGGCCAAAATGATCCCACCCTCTCCTCTCTGCAGATCTGTACTTACCGAGATCCAACAGGCACGGTTCCCCTATTATTTACAACCAGCGCTGCAATGATGTAATGCACATTACAGCCCCATAGACATCTATGGGGCTGTAATGACAGATGCAGCCAGGAGAGGGAGACTTGCAGCACTGGATGTCATCAAACTTTAAAGTCCCACTTCGGGCAGAAAAAAAAATGACCCTTGCAGGGTGACCTTCCTGCACTGCAAGGGATAAATGCTCTTTTAGGCCCCGTTCACACTGAGCGATGTATCGCGCGATTTTTGCAGCGATATCGCTCATATTTCCACACGATATCGCTCTATGTAGCTTCTCCAATGCATTTCAATGGAGCTGTTCGCATCTCGTCGCTCAATATCGCTCAATATCGCTTGTAGCTCGTCGCTGGTAGCTTGTCGCTCCTACATGACCCTTTTTTCGAGCGATTTCGAGCGATATTGCTCCTGATTGCATACAACCCAATAGGAAAAAGTTGCGCGACACGTCGCTCAATATCGCTCGTCGCGCAATATCGCTCAAAATCGCGCGATTTTCATGTCGCTCAGTGTGAATGGGGCCTAAGTGTAGGGGTGGAGGAATAAGGTGTCATCAAGGCTTTCCCTCGCTGCGGCAGGCTTTCCCCATACTGCGCGACTGGTCCCCCAAAGCCTAGTCACAGCGGTCTCCATCTGACATCATTACATACAATTCAGGACCAGCAGTTCTGCATTGTACATGGCAAGGGCCAGAGCACAACCTGGCAAGGATGGAAAGGGCCCGAGCACAACCTGGCAAGGATGGAAAAGGCCAGAGCACAACCTGGCAAGTATGAAAAGGGCCCGAGCAGACATGGACAGTGGAAGGAGAAGCAGCAGACTGATTAGGTCATCTCTCTGTCACTCTGCTCTCCCCTCCTATCAGCAAGTCCCTTGCTCACATATTAGCAGTGCAGGACGGACTGGTTTCTGGTGCTGCATCTTCCTCTCCCACTAAGAGCCCTGCTGTACAGGGATTGCAATAGGCTGATCCCAAGTCAATTGTAGGTACTCACAGTGCTTAGGTTTGAATACATGTGATTTCTGCCCGGAGCTCGGCTCTAGACCTTCGCTGTCACATGTTGTATAGGATTTAGTGCTGAGTGACTTGGCCGGCATTGTGCTTAGCGGAGGTGAATGGGTGTCCATGAGTCCAAGGTCAGGCAGGTGATCTGAGCGCTGTGGTTTCTGTAATTATAGACTGTCGCATTCTACACCAGGCTGGTTTCGGAAAACGCTGATGTCTGTGACTGGGGAGGAGGGGGTGTTTTTATGTGTTTTTATAGTTTCTGTTGAAAGTGGAAAGCACCGTGACCATCTTATTACACCCGAGTGACAGAACTTCTCCAGGGACTGACAATGATTGCCGCGGACTCTCTTTAGAATCTGTGCTTGTGAGAAATTCATGGAGCAGTCAGAAACAGGTGTATGTCACGTGCAGGCATGGTGGGGGTCCATACCACGGACACTCCATATTAAGTGCGTGTTCAGGCTCATTGGTTGCTAGGATGCTGTCGGCTGCACAGCATTGATGGTTGTCCTAGCAACCAAAGATGCAGTGCAGCCGCCGACAGTGTCTAAGCACTCAATGACCCTGTGGGCTAACAGTGTCCTAGCAACCAGTGATGCTGTGGGCTAACAGTGTCCTAGCAACCAGTGATGCTGTGGGCCAACACTGTCCTAACAACCAGTGACAATGTGGGCTGACAGTGTCCTAGCAACCAGGGATACTGTGGGCTAACAGCATCCTTGTAACCAGTAATGCTGTGGGCTGACAGCCTCCTAGTAATGAGTGACAATGTGGACAGACAGCATCCTAGTAAGCAATGACAGTGTGGGCCGAAAGAGTACTAGCAACCAGTGCCACTGTGGGCCGACAGTGTCTTAGCAATCCGTGGTGCTGTGGGCTGACAGCATCTTAGCAGCAACCAGTGATGCTGTGGGCTGACACCATCCTAGCAACTAGTGATGCTGTGGGCCAACAGTGTCCTAGCAACCAGTGATGCTGTAGGTTGGCAGTGTCTTAACAAAAATGATGCTGTAAGCCAGCAGTGTCCTAGCAACCAGTGTCAGTGGTGCTCTGTTTGCAGACATGCATGGGTGGCACAGAGAGGCTGCAGTATAAAAGAATGTCTGCTCCACCCTCCTAATTTTGATTGACAGCTAACATTAGCATCCATCTGCAAGTGTTCATGGGACATGTAGTCCTGACATCATGGCTTCAGACGGCGATTGCGTGTGTCCTTCAACTCTATGACCTCCAGGTTACAGTAGGCAGACATCAATACTGCTTAGTACAGTGGTATGGAAATGTATTACTCATGTCTGTGCTCTAACCAGGGAGGATCTTCTACTAATTAAAGGGATTAATAACAGAGATTGAATGTAGAGAAGATAATAATGATACTATGACAAGCATTCCGCCCAACCTGAACTTCCACAAGCTGATCCTACCCAATATTTTCTATATGCATGATACTTACTGTTCATGTTACAGGAAATGGTTACACATGGGGGTCATGCTGGAGGAGACAGCGGACATGTTACAGGAAATGGTCAGACATGGGGGTCATGCTGGAGGACAGGGAACATGTTACAGGAAATGGTCAGACATGGGGGACATCCTGGAGGAGCAAGTGGACATGTTACAGGAAATGGTTAGACATGGGGGACATGCTGGAGGAGACACAGGGGACATGTTACAGGAAATGGTCAGACACGGGGGTCATGCTGGAGGAGACAGGGGACATGGTACAGGAAATGGTCAGACACAGGGGACATGCTGGAGGAGACAGCAGACATGTTACAGGAAATGGTCAGACACGGGGGTCATGCTGGAGGAGACAGGGGACATGGTACAGGAAATGGTCAGACACGGGGGACATGCTGGAGGAGACAGCAGACATGATACAGGAAATGGTCAGACATGGGGACATGCTGGAGGAGACAGCAGACATGTTACAGGAAATGATCAGACACAGGGAGACATATCTATTAGAAAGAACTTTATTAACTTGGTATTCTTTGATAAACAACAGCATGTAAGAGGGAGTTCCTCTGCGAGGACTGCTTTGTGTTTTCCATCTTGTGTTGCCATGGAACCATTGGTGGGTTAGGTTGTGGGGAGAGTTAGGTGTGACCGGCACAGCTGTTTTCTATCACTCTTTTCTCTGCCCTTCATAAGTCTTGCGTGACACCTGACTATACCACAACCTGACTTCTTGTAGCTGCCATGTTAACGCATACTTGGAATAGGGGCGGAGCTCAGTGGTCAATGAGGCGGGGCTTAATTTCAGTGTTCTTGTGTCAGACCTCCTAATCCACCTGCATACAGCACATTGAACGGCTGCTGCGCATCTAGTAATAAGAAGACTTTTGTGGCAGGAAGTAGCGCTATCAGCTGCTTTTAGCTGTGACAGGAAGTGGTGACACCGTGCACCGTTTAATACATGGTATTTCTTTTTTCCTCAACAGTGTCAAGATGGGGGAGACTCAGATTTACAGCCAGCGCCTGCATGGAATCACTGTAAGTACAACACGGCAGATTTGTCCTGCAGAGCTAACACTCTACTGTGTGTGGGGGGGAGAGAGGGAGCTATTCTACCGCTGTGCATCCTGTACAGATTCACTATAGGAGGTCCGAGCAATGATGGCAGCCTAAAGATGGCCATACACTGTGACCCAGCTTGACAAATTTCAATTGGACGTCTGAACAGCCAATCAGCTGCAGTCACTGTTCAGTTATTCTGCTGTCAGAATACAATAGCCATCAGGGTATTCTTTCCTCTATGCCAAGGTTTGGCAACCTCGGCACTCCTGCTGTTGTCAAACTACAATTCCCACTATGCCTCTGCCTCTGGGAGTCATGCCTGTGGCTGTCAGAGTTTTGCAATGCCTCCTGGGATTTGTAGTTTCATCACAGCTAGAGTGTTGAGGTCGCCCACCCCTGCACCATGTTGTTTAGCATGGATGGGGGAATCAAACTATATGTCTATGGCCTGCTTATAAGTGTATTCCCCTTAGGGTTGCCACCTTTTCTTCAAGTGAAACCTGAACACTCTAGCGCCGCATGCAGCAATTGTTGGTTTTTTTTTGGGGGGGGGGAGGAGAGAATTTAGCGAAGAGACAACCAGGGGAGGGAGTAATGAGACAGTCTATACAGGACTATAAATCCCAGCAATACATTATACAGCAATACAAAAGAATATGTAGCTACATACTCTGTGTTGTTCTGGGGTGCGCTGTGAGCGCTCTTGGTAGGCTATGCTGGCTCTCAGGTGGCTGTGTAGGGTCTCAGGTGGCTGTGTAGGGTCTCAGGTGGGCTATGCGGGCTCTGAGGTGGGCTATGTGGGCTCTCAGGTGGACTATGCAGGCTCTCAGGTGGACTATGCAGGCTCTCAGGTGGACTATGCAGGCTCTCAGGTGGGCTATGCGGGCTCTCAGGTGGCTGTGTTGGGTTACAGGTGGGCTATGCGGGCTCTCCGCTGGCTGTGTGGGCTCTCCGCTGGCTGTGTGGGCTCTCAGGTGGCTGTGTGGGCTCTCAGGTGGCTATGTGGGCTATGCAGGCTCTCAGGTGGCTGTGTTGTTTCTCAGGTGGGCTATGCGGGCTCTCAGGTGGCTGTGTTGGGTCTCAGGTGGGCTATGCAGAGTTTCAAATGGCTGTGTTGGGTTTCAGGTGGGCTATGCGGGCTCTCAGGTGTCTGTGTTGGGTCACAAGTGGGCTATGCGGGCTCTCAGATGGCTGTGTTGGGTCACAGGTGGGCTATGCGGGCTGTGTGGGCTCTCAGGTGGGCTATACAGGCTCTCAGGTGCCTGTGTAGGGTCTCAGGTAGGCTATGGGGGCTCTCAGGTGGACTATGTGGGCTCTCAGGTGGGCTATGCGGGCTCTCAGGTGGCTGTGTTGGGTTACAGGTGGGCTTTGCGTGCTCTCAGCTGGCTGTGTGGGCTCCCAAGTGGGATATGCGGGCTCTCAGGTGGCTATGTGGGCTCTCAGGTGGGCTATGCAGGCTCTCAGGTGGGCTATGCAGGCTCTCAGGTGGGCTATGCAGGCTCTCAGGTGGGCTATGCAGGCTCTCAGGTGGGCTATGCAGGCTCTCAGGTGGGCTATGCAGGCTCTCAGGTGGGCTATGCAGGCTCTCAGGTGGGCTATGCAGGCTCTCAGGTGGGCTATGCAGGCTCTCAGGTGGGCTATGCAGGCTCTCAGGTGGGCTATGCAGGCTCTCAGGTGGGCTATGCAGGCTCTCAGGTGGGCTATGCGGGCTCTCAGGTGGCTGTGTTGGGTTACAGGTGGGCTTTGCGTGCTCTCAGCTGGCTGTGTGGGCTCCCAAGTGGGATATGCGGGCTCTCAGGTGGCTATGTGGGCTCTCAGGTGGGCTATGCAGGCTCTCAGGTGGGCTATGCAGGCTCTCAGGTGGCTGTGTGGGCTCTCAGGTGGGCTATGCAGGCTCTCAGGTGGCTGTGTGGGCTCTCAGGTGGGCTATGCAGGCTCTCAGGTGGCTGTGTTGGGTCATAGGTGGGCTATGCAGGCTCTCAGGTGGGCTGTGTTGGGTCACAGGTGGGCTATGCAGGCTCTCAGGTGGCTGTGTGGGCTCTCAGGTGGTCTATACAGGCTTTTAGGAGTGCTGTGCGGTGTCTCATCAGGGGTCCGGAGGCGGGCATCGTGACAGGGGAGGTGATGTGCGGGCTGTTTACAGGCACCCGTGGCTTACAGGAAGATGCAGCTTCAGGCAGATGCGGCTGTCTGAGGTCCCGTGCTTGCTGGGGGCCTCGACAGCCGCATCTGTCAAAAAATATAAAGTGCTGGTATTGGCACTTACAGGGCTATTCACAAAAGGGTGAAGAGTTTGGGGAAGGAAGGAGAAATGAACAATCTAGGCCAGAATAGCTGATTTGGAATAATTCTCAAATTCAGCTCACGTTCCAGTTCAGCTATGTTGTCCTAAATGGTTCACTTCTCCTGCCTTCTCCAAACTCTTGTAAATAGCCCTGTAAGTGTCTTGTGTCCGGGTGTCAGCTGGCTGGAAACCCGGACACAAGGCTCAAAAACCAGACTGTCCGGCTGAATCCCGGTCCGGTGGCCACCCTAATTCCACTGTGTATAGAGTAGATAAGGGTTAAAAAGCGTTTCCTTTTCTCCACGGCTCCATCTAGTGGCAGCATGTGGTAGCACATCATCACGCTGGATTGCACATTGATTATCCGCTTGTGTAGCGTATACAATTGGTGCTCAATATCTGGAACACTACTTACTATGACTGAGGTCTTTATGGCCACCCTAAAACCTTGTATGTGGTGCTGAGATGATCTGATCGCTTACACTTCTTACAGGAGAAGCGCAGAATCCTGAGTGAGGTGGACAGAATCCAGAGGGAGCTGGAACAGCAGAGAGTCAAACTGCAGCAGTTAAAGGTAATGAGACTGTTAAAGTTCTGCCCGGAGTGTAGCTGGGTGCATGCCGTTTGCACGGCACTAGCACACCTAGATGTGCTTCTCAGCGCCATCTAGGGGCGTTAGTGTTGAGTAAATGCCATGTGGCCAGCTATATGCCGGGCAGAACTTTATCAATGAATCCTTATATGTTCTTCTTCTGAAATTTGATCACAGACACGTATTTTGTACCTTCATGATAAGTGTGCCTTCTACATCCATCAGAGGTGTCCTTGATCCCCCATGCAGCAATGTTGGTCACCGTTTTTAGCTTGTTTACTCTAGTGGCGATTGCATGGAGAGCATTGACATTCCTTGCTAGGCCGATGACTCAGGGTCTTCCTGGGATGTTCACAGACCAGCCGCCCCTGCGCTGCAAAGGTTAACTGCTTGTATGTGCCTAGAGGACAGGAAAAAGCTGTTTTACTTACCTGATCCCCGCTCCCGCCGGCTCCTACCGGGCTGCTCGGCTGGTCCCCACAGCCTCTTCTCCCCTTCTAAAGACCGCTGCTGTCATCAAGTACAATGCAGGCTCCATAGCCCTTCACTGTATGGGAGGCCACCGAGGCTCAGACCACAGCTGGAGTGGAGAGGAGAAGAGGAGGGCACTGACTGCTGGGTAAGTGGGGATCAGGTAAGTAACACAGCATTCCTCTAGGGCAGGGATGTCCAAACTGCGGCCCTCCAGCTGTGGTGAAACTACAAATCCCATGAAGCATCTCTCTCCGGGAGTCATGTCTGTGGCTGTGAGAATCTTGCAAAGCCTCATGGGATTCGTAGTTCTACCACAGCTGGAGGGCCGCAGTTTGGACATCCCTGCTCTAGGGCCTAGGCCAAGGTTGGACAAACTCCAGCTCTCCAGCTGTGGTGAAACTCTCACTATAATGCATGCGGCAACGTGTGTTACCACCACGCATGGCAACCCGCCTGATCTAGGGTATGTGTGGTGCACAATTGCCAACGCACAATTCCCACTTTTGCACGCATCATACAGGTGATTGATGAAGTTCTGAGCATGTAGATCCCTGCTTGTCCACCACGGCACAACCATCAGGTCCAGGGTTTCGTTTTGAAAGTGCCAACCCATCTCGGGTATTTTGGTTTAGCCCTCAAAATGCAGCCGGTGCTCTTTCAGCTTCTGATCTGCTTGTGTATCCTCCTATGTCCTACTGTAGGGATTGGGCAACCTCAGTACTCCAGCTGTGGTGAAACTAAAAGTCCCCTTATACCTCTGGGAGTCATGTCTGTGGCTGTCAAGAGTCTTGCAATGCCTCATGGGATTTGTAGTTTCACCGCAGCTGGAGGACCGAGGTTGCCGACCCCTGACCTATTGGTTTATCCTCCCACAGAGTGATGAGTTTCCCTTTTGCTTTTTCCGCCTGTCCACAGAGAAAGTCTCTGCGAGATCGCTGGTTGATGGATGGCCTGGTTCCTACAGCAGGAGCAGAAACTGACAACCCATTAAGCGAGACAGAAGGTCAAATAAAGGACCTCGAACTTCAGCTGGAAAGGTGAGACCATGGACCCTTGTATGGTTCAACTTAAAGGAGCCCTGCAGCAAAGGGTCAGTATGGCCACGTTGTGCTGACAGAAACTTCAACTTCATTTAAATAGGCAAGGACTCCACCACTTACCTCTGTACCCCTATTCCACCATTGCACCCCCTTTCTGCCACTGCTCTTCTCTGCATCCCTCTTACACTGCTTACCTCTGAACACTGCTCCTAGACTGCTCTTACTCTGCTCACATCCACACCACCCTAAACTGATCGTACACTGCTCACCTCTGCACCTCCCCACGCCCCTTTTACACTGCTCACCTCTGCACCCCTCTTACAATGCTCACCTCAGCACCCTCCTGAACCACTCTTACACTGCTCACCTCTGCACCCCTCTTACAATGCTCACCTCTTCACCCCTCTACCACT